GCACGAGGCCGTCGCCAGGTACGTGAGGGTCACAAAGCTTTTCACCAGCGCCATGGAAATAAAAACCCAAGCTCTGAGCACACCCCGTTCAGCCTCGAGCGTCGCTCCCCGTCTCCCCGTGGCGTCGCAACACAGAGTGGGGATGCCAATAAAGAGAACACGCACAGTGCGGGGGCTCGTAAGCGACAAAATGAAGCTGGGGATGGCGGGGCGCGTCCCGCTGTGGCCCTCGGCTGTGGGGCGAGTAGGGGAGGGAGGCGACTGCCACAGCCCCTGCAGGGTCACTTCAGGTCCCCATCCCCTTCCCCTTGGATCGACTTCTTGATGCGCAGCAGCATGGTGGTGAGCCACTGGTCCAGCCGCGAGACGGAGTCGAACTCTTTAACCTGGGAGAAGAGGGAGGGAAAAACCCATGAAACAAACACAAAACACAAGTCACGTGTTAGGAAGCAAACAAGACTGCTGCTGGTGCCTTTGAAACCTGTTCTTCCCAGAGTACAACAGAACAGAAAATAGACACTCCTCCCCTTTCCTCCTTTTCTTTTCTCCTTTTCTCTCTCCTCTTTTCTGCTCTCCTTTTCACAGAATCACAGAATGTCAGGGGTTGGAAGAGACCTCAAAAGACCATCTATAGTCCAGCTCCCCCTGCCAGAGCAGGGTCACCTACAGTAGATCACACAGGAACGCGTCCAGGCAGGTTTTGAATGTCTCCAGAGAAGGAGACTCCACAACCTCCCTGGGCAACCTGTGCCAGTGTTCTTTTTTCTCTTTTTTATCATCTTTTTCCTATTCTTTTTTATTTCATATTCTTTCCTCTTTTTTTCTCTGCTCTTCTATTTTTTTTTTATTTTCTATTTTTTCTTTATTATTCTCTTGTACTATTTCATATTATTTTCTTTTTTTCTGTTTTCTATTCTCTTTTCACTTTTTTCTTTTCCATTCTCTTTTCTCATCCTCTCCTCCTCTCCTCTTGTATTACTTTTACTTTCTCTTGTAGCCTCTATTTTTTCTATTCTCTATTTTGACTTTTTTTTAATTTTCTTATGTATTTTATTTTCTCTTAATTTCAAGTTCTTTTTTCTATTCTATTATATTCTTTTCCACTTTATTCTATTCTTTTCTAATCGTATTATTGTCTCCTTTTCATTTCTCTTCTATTCTTCACCTTCTATTCCATTCTTTTTTCTATTCTGTTTTCCATATATTACTGTCCTATATTCTCTTCATTTTCATTATTTTTTGTCTTTTGTATTCTCTTCCTTTTTCTTTTTCCTATTTTTTCTTGTCCCTTCCCCTTTCCTTCCTTTTCCCTTTCCCTTTTTTATTATTTCATCTTTTTTCTTTGCTCTGCTCTTCTATTCTTTTATGTTCTCTTCTATTTTTAATATTTTTCTTTACTATTAATTTTTATTCAATTATTTTCTATTTTCTCTTATTTTCACTTCTAGGCTCTCCTTTTCTATTTTCTATTTTATTCCCTTTTCTAGTCTTTTCTACCCTTTCCTCTCTTCCCTCTCCTCTCCTTTTTCCCTTTCCTCTTGTCTCCACTCTTTTTCCCATTTCTCTTTTCCCACTCTCCTCCCTTTTCCCTTTCCTTTCCTCGCATTTCCACTCCTTTTCCCTTTCTTTTCCACACATCTCCACTCCTCTTTGCCTCTTCCCTTTTCCATTTTTTTTCCATTTTCCCTCTCCTCCCTTTTCCCTTCCCTTTTCCCTTCTCTTCCATTCTCTTTCTCCTCCTCTTCCCTACTCCCTTTGTTCTATTCCCTTCCCTTTTCCCTTTCCCCTTTTACCTTTCCTTTCCCTCTTGTCTTCATTGCTTTTTCCCTTTTCCCTTATCTTCCTTTTTCACCTTCTCCCTTCTTTTTCCCTTTCCATTTCCCCTTTCAATACATTCTGATCAACACAGATATGTTCCGATACAGTCGGATACACAAGGATAGAGTCAGATACAGTCAGATACACTTGGATACGTACGAATACACACGGATACACTCAGATAAGTTTGGAAGCAGATACACACGGACACAGGTGGATACACACAGATACACTTGTTCCCTTATCTTCCTTTTTCACCTTCTCCCTCCTTTTTCCCTTTCCGTTCCCCCTTCCAATACATTCTGATCAACACAGATATGTTCTGATACAGTCGGATACACAAGGATAGAGTCGGATACACTCAGATACAATCAGGTGCACTTGGATACAGTTGGATACGTATGGATACACTCAGATAAGTTTGGAAGCAGATACACACA